TTTGATATAGGTGCTATCGCGCTGACTGAAACTTGTCCTCATTCCTTTGTCTCTGATTATGAAATTTTTGTTCTCATTGAAGATTTTTTTTCGATTGGATCGTCCATCTTTTGCAGGTGTCCTCGTTGCTCTAAATAATGAATGCGGATGTCAACTAATCCCTTTCCCGGATGCTCGTCTCATACTTTCCTGATCTGTTCCTACATTCCTGTTGCACTCTTAAAACTAAGCCACATCCATAACACTCATTGCAGGTTTCCTTATAGATGAACCTTATATTTTCCAATGGTGGTGGAGTGAATACGTAGAATACCAAAAAGTGAGAGTGCAGATCGGTTTAAGGGGGAGTTAAGGGAAGGCCGATATATATTTACAATTAATATTCTGCTTAACCCTATAAAATCCGTATCTTGCAAATTAAAGCATGGATGACTTTCCAAGCGATGAAATAAATAATTTATTATTCCGCTTTATTAGAAAGGTTTCAAAGCACTTATTGAAAACTACCGCGGAATTGCTAAGCTATTTACGGTTCCCAAACTTCTGAAAAAACTTTTTACTTCGCAGCTGCAGCATTAAAAAAAAGGCATCACTTCCACCTCACAGCATGGTTATGTAAAGCACCGCTCTACTTCAACCAATCTTCTTGAATTCACTGCTATCATCCACAGGGGTTTTCCAGCCGCATGAAAACTTATGTGGTATACACGAATTATACTCATACATAAGCTGTATCTTATGGAGCTTTCTCCAAAAATCGTACAGCGGATGATTTCCTATCTAACGAACCAAAAGTTACCAATTTGTACATATTTGTAAAAATTACAACCTAGATTCCCATTTATTATCCCGAGATGTAATTCAATCTGAAATTATTGACTTTCTATTAGCTTTATTTACCGTTACTTTTAATTATTATAATCTAGACCAGTGGGGGGCAAAACAGTTCTTAAACAAATAAAAAACTACGCTTTGCTATCTATATTTTCTATAAAGAAAACTGTTTCCAACCCAATTTCTGAGAAAATTGTTGTCAGTGGGTACACTTTGATTTTTAAGTTTGGCCTGTCAAATGAGTCAAATGAGAGCAAATGAGAGAGCTTCTAAAAAAATTTGAGAGTGCTTACACTATCAGTGTGGAATGGAAAATGAGAGTTTTTCCCCCACTGATCTAGACCAGGAGTGCCCAGTCTCATTGCTCTCGGTGCTCCTTTGTTGTTGGAATTGCTCCTTCATATGGGAAATGAAATTTAGGCAAGTATAGGTAGCTCCCAGTATAGGCAAAGGCAATTACAATAAAAATTTTTCGTGTTTTCCCCATTCTCCTCAATCATGCTAATCCGAACACATTTTGTTGCTGGAGTGCCGGACACTATTTACTGCAAGAAATTCATTCTTGTTTTTGTTTCTGTCAAAATGGTCAACCTGAAGCGATACATTTCTTCTTCGCAGAAAATTTTTTATACCCTTGCAGAGGGTATTATTATTTTGTCCAAAAGTGTGCAACGCAGTGAAGGAGACATCTCCGACCCTATAAAGTATATATATTCTTGATCAGGATCACCTCCTGAGTTGATATGAGCATGTCCGTCTGTCTGTCTGTCTGTTTCTACGCAAACTAGTCTCTCAGTTTTAAGGGGACCCCCCCCATTCTCGGTTTTAAAAAATCGATATTTTTTTTTAAATTTAATTCGAACTTGTAACTATTCAAGAATGTTCCCTGAAAATTTCAAGTAAAAATTTCAAAAACTCTTAAAGATATAGCCGATTTATGGTGGAAGCCTCAGGCGACGGCGAGAGCCATCTCAAAACTTTAAACGCGTTTTTCTCGAAACAGTGTTTTTACGACTGGCGCATGAGGTTACTCAAAAACTATTAAACTAATCGGTTCCAAATTTTAACACGTTATTCTATACATATATAGCTCTCGTATGAACTAGGATAAATCGAATCGGTGAAGATCTTCTTTACTTTTCAACTCGATTTGTGGCTGAAAAAAATGGAAATTTCGAAAAAAAAATTTCAAAGGTCCACCATTTTGTTAATTTTTGGGCGAAGTTAATAATCCTAGTTCATACGAGAGCCAAACATGTACTTTTTCTAATCCCGTTGGAATTTTTGAATTCAGATGTTCCAGTGAGCGGAAATCACATGCGCCGCCGAAAAGAAGGGATTTTCTTTGATCACAAAAAACAACAACAAAAACAAAACAAAAAAAAATTCTGTGAAATGATTTTCTTCCTTTTTGTGTCTTAATATATGTAAGCACAGTTACAACCCTAAAAAATAATTTATGTTCATTTGCCAGCCCATTGAAAATCGTCAAAATTTAAAATCGAGAATGGGGGGGGTCCCCATTAAAGCTATCGACTTGAAACTTTGCACACGCCCTTCTTTCCTTTGCACGCAGTATATAAGTTGGAACGTCCGAGATCGGCCGACTATATCCTATAGCTGCCATATAACTGATTGATCGGAAATGGTATAACTTTTGTGTTTTTAGAGTTAGAGAGTTCATATTTGACATGAGAGCTATTTTTGGCAAAACATTACGACATGCCGAATTTCATAAGGATCGGCCGACTATATTCTATAGCTGCCATATAACTGAACGATCGGAAATGACCCAACTTTCGTGTTTTTGAAGATAGAAAGCTGAAACTTAGTACAGATTATATTTTTGGTCAGTTGATCCAACCTACCAAATTTTATAACGATCGGCTGACTATATCTTAACGCTGCCATATAACTGATCGATCGGAAATGGTTTTTGGTAGATATACCAACTTTGGTACTTTTGAAGATAGAAGTTTGGGACTTTTTTTAGATTTTATATTATAATAAATTAGGTTATATTATTATATTCTCATATGGATCGGCCAACTATAACCGATGTTTGCGATATATATCCGGTTTTAACTGCAAGGGTATATCAACTTCGGCTCCGCCCGAAGTAAGCTTTCCTTTCTTGTTTTTAAGTAAGAAGCTTTTCATGTTTTGTCATAGTATAATATTAAGCTGTTATAAAAAAAAGGAAGATTTTTTTTTAATTGCTATAATAAAATGTATTTTTTATTAATTGATTTTTTTAAACCCCCTGTAAATGTAAATTTAATTTTTCAGTGCTCTCACATAAATGGGAAAAAAATTCTCGCACCAAAGTATTAGTTTTTTTTTGCATTGGTATGGGAGTTTTTTCTCCCGTATGCAGAGCTTGGGCCCCCCTGATCAAGACTAAGAGATCGTTGTGAATAAAAAAAGAAACAAATAAATATCTTGAGCTTGAGAGTTGTCCCATATATGAGCTATAAATCAATAGTTGCGGAATCCCAAGGTCTATCTCCAAAGACAACGTAGTTAAATCGCTAGACCTTATTAAAAAATTCGTTCTTGAAAAGAAAGTAAATACAAAAAAATATATTTAGTAGATTTATTGGCCTTTTTTCCCGTTTGCCATCTTGGGTACTACCGTCCACAGTATTACACTATACATTACGTATGTATGAAGTACCTGGTATCATATATGAAATCTGCTAGAAAGGAAGACTATAGTCGAGTATATGGAGCGAAAATGCGCAAAGCGTAAGAGGTGATGAATACCGCGATAAGAGATGAAAAATCATACCAGATATGCGCAATCGACCGGGAACGGCGAATCTATAAAAAATACAGTATACAGTATACTAACAAAATAAATAAATTAACTAAAATACACGATTTCCGCTGCTCACACAAGACAATACCAAAACATTTTAAATATTTATAGCCTAGTACTGAGTTGACGAAAATCCGATGTCGAACGAGTGACAGCTGTCAAACTCAATATAAAAAAAACGGTGTAAAAAAAAGGAAGAAGAAGAAATTTTCGCCCTCTAGATTTTGCCGGTACTGTGTTGACGAAAATTTTTGTTATCGATTTGAATGGCGTTGCCGGATCAAAAAAAAAATAAACAGCTGATCTCGGGGAGTTGAAAGAACTAATTTTATTTATTTCTATAGGTGAAACATGGAGGGACAATTGATCAAACAAAAAATAGTCGGCGCGAGGAGAAATTAAAATTAATTAGTGCGGTCAAGGCGAAGCCCATAATATGGGATTTGACCCGCAAGGAGCATTTTAATGCCATAAAATGGCATTGAAATGATTTGTGATTGATTTTGACCCAGTTTTCTATTTCTTAATCAGCTCCTTAGCGGCAAGATACATCAACAAAACACCAACATCCAATTGATTTGAATTCATTTTTGCTTCTTTGTTTTTTGTTTACAAACAACAGCTGTTCAGTATTAACCTTTTTCTTAATTTTTTTGGTCGCACTAACTCGGTAGCTGAATAAAGTTCGATTTCGCTCGCGGATTTTCGTCAACTCAGTACTAGGCTTAAAAATAAAAACGACCCAAAAACATTAATAAACTGGCGCTACAACAAGATTTCCTTTTTGTGTGTGGGAGGTGGCGTGGCAATATTTTGACACAAACTTGATCAGCGCGGATACCATATGAGTCCAAGTTCCAAATTAGATAGTTCTATATCTTACTGTCTTCGAGATCCACACGTTCAAAACTTTATTAATATTTTTTATAGGTAATGGTATATACATACATGGGTATGTTTACCCTAATAATCGTTCGATTTGGATGAAATTTGTTTTTCAGATATAAATTAACTATATATTTAAAGTTTCTAAATGTTTTTTTTGTTTCCTTGATTGTTTGTATGGGCGCTTAATAATATAATCCTAATAATATTTGTTAGATTAGTTCGGTTACAAGGAAATTTAAACCATAGATAGTCGCAACTTCCAAACTTAGCAGATCATAAAATATTAAGCACTACACGCTCTATTTGGTTTAAGTGCATTTAAAAAAAATTTTTTTTAATTTGGGTCTAAGTTTTATAGCGATAGCACATCCACTGTGCAGTGCTTATCAAACATCAATTAGGTGGACCGTTGGTGTGTTACAGAGAAATACCAAAAAAGTTTCTTATTAAATAAATAGTGAAATGGGAGCAATTAGTCTGAATGCACCACATAAACGTGACAGCTTCGCTTCAAGACAAAAAAAATATAGTTACGGGAAGGAACAAAATATGGACTCGAGAAAACAGTATTACAAGTGCCAAAAACGGACTAAGTGGGAGGATAATAATAGCTGTGTGAAGGATTTAAACCATTATAAATTCTTTCTTTTTAAAAATGACATTTTTAAAAATGAGTTAAGAAATGGAAAATTAATTCCGCGGCCGGTGTTTCACGTAGCAATAAAATATACTATACTAACGTATATATTAGCTATACTTATTTATTGTAATGGTGTTAACGGAACGCTGGTCGAGGATTGGACCCCCAAAATTCAAACGGGATATAGTCATGACCAGAAATTCTTATCAACTGACGTATCTGCCTCATTAAATTCTCTAAGGCAAGTTTTCGCGCAATAATTTAAAAGTACATACATTTGTATGTATATACATACATATGTTCATTTATGTTTTAAAAATTTAATTAATTAATTTAATTCCCTTTTGCCGCTAAATACGAGTATCAGACGTTTTTGTTTGATTTACATGACTGTATGTGCTGCCTTTCCTTAATACTCATACATACATACATATGTCCATATACCCAGACATATCTGGTTGTATGCGGTTTATAAGCAGATCTATGTAGATAATGTATGTACTTATGTATGTATGTACATATTTATGCGGTGACTCAACCAACAATCTTTTTTCCTTGAAAAATAAATAATGTTTAATGTTTTATGTTCTGTTTAATTTTTGTTCGCTTTGCACTCACTGAGCAATGTAAAATAGCAAGTTAATATTGAGGAAAACTTCAAATTTACATATACTTAATAATTAAGTTGTAATTTATCTAATTTATTTTAATATGTGTATATTCAATATACCCATATTAATTTGATACAATATACTATATTGTATTAAATTGAATTTTTTAAAAAAATTTTTCTTTTTTGTTTCTGGACCAAGTAAAATTTATTTTTAATTTCTTCTAGATATTAGGTATTTTTTAAGTTATTGTTTTTTATACCCTTTCAAGGTCTTACAAAGAAGGAACTACGATTATAACTTTGTCGTATAAAGTATTCCCATAAATATTTGTGTATACATACATATTGAGCCCTATTTGCAAAAATAACGTAAGCGCCAAAAAGCAAATTTTACATGAGAGTGTTTTTATACCCTTGCGAAGAGTATTATAATTTTGTCCAAAAGTGAGTAATGGAGTAAAGGAGACATCTCCGACTTTACAAAGTAAATATATTCATGATCAGGATCACCTCCTGAGTTGATATGAGCATGTCCGTCGGTCTGTCTGTTTCTACGCAAACTAGTCTCTCAGTTTTAAAGCTATCGTCTTGAAACTTTGCACACTCTTTTTTTTTCCTTTGTCGGAACGGCTCGGATCGGCCGACTATATCCTATAGCTGCCATATAACTGATTGATCGGAAATGGTATAACTTTGGTGTTTTTAGAGTTAGAGAGTTTGACATGAGAGCTACTTTTGGCAACACATTACGACATACCAAATTTCATAAGGATCGGCCGACTATATCTTATAGCTGCCATATAACTGAACGATCGGAAATGACCCAACTTTCGTGTTTTTGAAGATAGAAAGCTGGACAGATTATACTTTTGGTCAGTTAATCCGTCCTACGAAATTTCATTAGGATCGGCTGACTATATCTTATAGCTGCCATATAACTGCACGATCGGAAATAGTATTTGGTAGAAATATCAACTTTGGTATTTTTGAAGATAGAAGCTTTGGACTTTTTTTTAGATTTTTTATTGTAATTAATTGGTTTTATTATGATGTAATCATAAGGATCGGCCAACTATATCCGATGTTTGCGATATATATCCGGTTTTAACTGCAAGGGTATATCAACTTCGGCTCCGCCCGAAGTTAGCTTTGCTTTCTTGTTTTATTTAATTTTAATTAATTTAAAAGTTGGAATGGGCACTTAAATAGTGTATTTTAGTTAAGATTTGCTAGCAAAGTTCTTAAACAAATGAAAAACTACGCTTCCCTATCTATATTTTCTATGGAGAAAACTTTTTCCAACCCAATTTTTGAGAAAATTGTTCTCAGTGGAAACATTTTAATTTTTAAGTTTGGGCTGTCAAATGAGTCAAAAATGAGAGCAAATGAGAGAGCTTCTAAAAAAATGTAAAAGTGCTCACACTGTCAGTGTTCCGGCAGCGCTGCGGCAGAATTTCCTACCCTATGCACGCGTGCTATAGAAAAGACAGTTTGTCCCCCACTGGTTTAAATTCAAATTCAAATTAAGGAGGGACCGTAGTGCGTAACTTGAAAATATTTATTCACACTGGAAACAACAAACTTTTCAATCGTCAAACATGATTTTGAGCAGACAAAAATCTTTACTTTGACTTTTTTCAGTCTGTTTTTATGAATTTTTTGAAATTTAATTTTTGTTAAAATGAAGTTATGTTCATTATTTAAAAAAAAAATAAAAATAAGGGTACCAACATATTCAAAAAATTTTCTTTGCTACAATTGTCGTAAACAACATGTACAAAAATTTATAGCTAGGGTCCCAAAAAAAAAAATTGGTTTATTTTTATTGTGTCCGGTCCCCTAAAAAGCATCTATCGGTGGGGTATGCAAGCACAATTTACATGCAGAACAACAAAAACTTAACCCTTTACATGGCAATAACTCCGATTTTCTTGTTTTTTTTTTGTTCGGTAGATAAGTAAAAATAAAAAATACACTTCTTTTTATTTCTTTTTTAAGGTTGGTTTTTCTTAATTTTTTTCACAAAAAGCAAAAAAAAAACGATTTTTTAAACTTAGCGAAATTAATGATTTAATTGTATTATAATGCAACAAACACAAAAACTCAATAATATAAAACTAAATATAATATTTTCCTGTTTTTAAACCATAATTGAATCAATTATACAATTATTTTTGTTTTTTATATTTTGGATCAGAAACTGCACAACCAATTCAGATTACCACATTCACCAAATTGGCGGGAAAAGTAATCACCTGTTGAGTATTGGACGGAATTCTGAGTGATCAACACAACTATATAAAAAATGATAGTTGCTGAACTGTATCAAAAAAATTTTGGACAGTTTTGTAACGCAGTTTGATAAATAATTGAATTTAAACGGTATGATGCAGATCTGCATCACCACCATGTAAAGGGTTAAAGGCAATCGGCTTAAATAAGTGATGTAGTGTTTAAGTGATGTCGACTGAAATATACCGTTTCTTTCTCAGTATATTGTTTGAAATGATTCGTAAAAATATATATGTATATACAAAACATTTATTGCTAATCTTATTCCTAAATAAATTTAAAATGTATGCTGAAATATTAAAAATTTAATGTTATTTCTTTCGTAATTTCAACGAATACCTGAGTTTTGATAGGGTAGCTACCCTTAAAAGTTCGAAAAATCCAAAATTGTGCGCGTGCGAGTTCGTTTTAAAGCACCCGTGTATGTGAGTCTGTGAAACGCATACATACAAAGATCAATCAAAGCGCAGACCAACCTTTTTCATTGCGCTCCTTTCAGAAACTGAGAAACAGAAAGCATTCAATGAGAATATGAGCGTAAGATGAACGAACGATGAGCGTAAGAAAGAGAGTAAGAACTCGCTCTGGGGCCTGCTGGGGCCCGTCGCAAGAAATTTTTGCGTCCATTTTCGTTGTATGAAATGGGTTGTCTATATGCTGTATGGTTAGTGGTTTTTTGCAGTAGGCCAAATAATTTCAGAGTTTTGAAGGTAATTTTAATTTACCGTGAGCTTGACCAAATTTCACCAAATCACTAATATTTTCTGTAGTACCCCTGATATTGTTTGATGAATACTTATTTGGTCTGGTTTGGACCGATTTTTGCCACCGGCCAGACGTGCGTCACCATTATATTAAGAATGGTCAAATCATTTAATCAGTTCAAGTAGCTCACTGTATTAAAGATTAATATCAGGTTAGTTAAAATGAGTTGTGCTCCGAAAATGACTTGTTGAAATAAGAAAATGTATATTTGTCAATTCATCTTATTAGACACCAGCGTGTTTTCTTAGAATTTTTTGCTTTTGAAGGTGGTATTAAAATGTTGGCCTAATTTTTGCAACCACTATCATTACAACATATTCATACAATTTCATACAACGAAAATGAATAAACAGATTTTCTACGACAGGCCTTAATGAACAGGATCCTAAGGTTTGAAACGAATTTAACATCCAATCTGTAATATTAATTGTTCAGGAACTTGGCTTGTCAAAGTCTGTTTCATTACGCTGAAATCATCTTCAACGTACTCGTCAAGCCCTTTCAGGGCTTCGTATCCTTTGCGGTTATGAGCCACTATGAGCACGGAAAAATGTGCGCCAGTTTGTAAATTAATTTTTAATATATGTAATTGTTTATACAATTAAATCATTGTGTAGACCCCTTCCTCCATGTAATAAACATAATCACAATCCACTTGTAGAACAATAATAACCTTAAAGCAAGCCGCGTTTAAAGTAATGTCTATAATATATGTATTATTTATGTATATGTATACAGTGATGGATAATAGAATACAGTGACAGTGATAAGCAGTGGTAAAAATACAGTGGTATACAGTGATAAAATAATAGAAACGAATTTTCCCTTTGGGTTCAAATACGTATTTTTAATAGAAAACGTGGTAATGAGTGAAAATTTTAATTTTTTTTTAATACAGTGATGGAAAAAATAATAGAAACGAATATTTCTATTTTACTTAAAGGCTTTATTTTTAAGTTTGGGCTTTATGTGTGGATTATGTGGAATTATGTGGATAACGATACTCGGTCACCATCTTCTTTTTGAACGCTTTTCGTCCGCAATTTTTGTTTTTCATGGAAATTCGTCAGAAGACCTCGTGTTTGGGTTGGAAAAATAATAGAAACGCGGTCGTATTTTCTAAAAATCTGTGGTTATTGTTCGTTTAAATTAAAATAAAAGGTATTGTTTTGAATATTTTTATTACAAGCAGTGTTATTATAGCAATTTTTTGTACAATGTATCATTTAATTTTGTTAAAAGCTTCAAAATGGGTCGTGGAGCACATTGCACCGCAGTAGAGTGGAATTTTATCCTCACATTAAAAGCAGAAGTCCAATCCATGGGACTAATTGTCAAACTATTGGAATGCTCAAAAAAAAAGTGTTTACTGCTATCCACTAAAGATAAACAGGAAAAACGTGGCAGAAAGAGAGCACCTTCCACAAAATTTGGCACGACCCTTATTAGAAAGTCGAAAGGAGCCTTTCCTTTCTTTGAAGGATCTTAAAAACTATATGAACGCATCCTTAACGAGTCATACCATTTGCAAAAAACTGATTGAGCGTGGTTTGAAAGCGCATTCAGCAAGG